GAGAGCTGGGATGGACTCCCTATTATTAGACATAGACCAAGTGGAGATCTTGGGTTCCTCTGACTTGGAGAGGGACAGAGAAGAGCTAAAGAGGAATTAGTGAAGAACACAGAAAGTTCTAGGCTTGACTCAACAACTGCATTCTGTGCGATCTCAGGCAAGTCACCTTCCTCTCCGTCTGCTCTTCTTCATCTGGTAAATGAAAAAGTGTCTGAGGTTCCCTCCAGTTCTGATAGTGTATGATTCTAATCCCACAAAGCTACTAGATATGGGGTTGTTCCACAAAGAGAAAAAAGGCAGAGGCAGTTTGAAACTCTAGAAGTTTCTAGATGACTTTACAGAAGAGTGCTCCTTCTGCATTTAATGGCAAAAAGATATGGGCTTATTCTGGGTTGTTGGAAATGTTCTGTATCTTCATCTTAGGGGGTAGTCACATGGTATGTACACATGAAAAACTCATCAAGTTGTAGACTTAAGACCTGTGCATTCTACTGTGCATAAATTATACCTAAAAAAAAAAAAAGTTTAAAAAAGGGTTAAACTCCAGCAGCAGTTCAGACTTCAGAAAGAACTACCTAATTAGAGAGAGTGAATTTCAACCCAGGGATGTTAAGAATCTCCCTTCTCTTGAGAACTTTCAACTAAGATTATCTGTCTGGGCTAAAGAGAGCTTTCCAAAGCCCCTCCATCCTCAGAAATTCCCAGGTTCTTTCCCAGGGATAGACAAATCTTCCTTGCTGTTTATTTCCATCTCTCCTATAGAAGTAGCAGCCGCTTACTCCCCTGGCCTCAGACAAAATCAAAGCCTTGTAACTTGTGCTGGGGGACCTCATTCCAATCTTCTCACCACCCATTCTCTCCCCCTCATCTCTTTCTCTTCTTCTTGGAGTTCTAATTCCTGTTCTGAGCCCGCCCCCACCCAGGCCCTTTTTCCGGTGGTGTGTGCCAGCCGGTCCTGCATCCCACATCCCCAGCTGTTGGCATTTTGCTGCCATTACCCATGGGATGAAGAAAGAGGCCCTGTTATTCAACAATAGGGGGGAAGACAGAGACAATGGGAAATTGTTCTTCCTATAGGGTGGGGACAGAGAAGGAAAGGACAGACAGACAGACAGGGGAATGCGCAGAAAGGGTCAAGTTTCTTGAAGCAGCTGGAGGTCCTGGAACTCTGGTTCCCACCTTGAGAGCCTCTTCGCATAGGCAATGAGCACTCAGGCACCTGAGGCCAGAGGTGAGGACTTTGGGGGAGGGAGGGGACTGGGGTATGAGGCACTGCTTGGATGACACCCACATGGAAGTATGGAGGCAGCTGGAGCTTGACATGTGGAGCCTTGAGCTTCATTCGTAGTTCATGCCCTCACTCACAGATCCAATACCCTCCTGCCTACCAATCAATCCACCCCTTCTCTGATGCAAGGACATCTCAGAAGCAATGCGGCCCCCTACTTTCTGCACTCTTCTAGGTTATCACTCTATCCCTTTTGTAGGTGCACACCCACTATCCCAAACCCAGCATCTTCTCCTGATCTTGTGACTGTGAGCTCCATATATACAGTGCTAGGCTAGAGGTCCGGGCACCACTTAGCCTAGCTTAGTGGAGTGATGGGGGCGGGGCAGTGATGGTAGCTAGTTCTTGGCTCTTTGGCTGTTTCCTTGAGCTCATAGCAGAAGCCTTTCCTCAAAAGTGAAGAGAGAAAGCCACATTGATTAAATCTTCAAGTCCTGGGACTTTAAAGTACTTGGATCTCCCAGGAGCCCAGGCTACACCTTCACCTGGAACTTCATCCTCAAGCAGGACCCAAAGCTGCTAATCATTGCTCTCTCCATCTCTGTGAAGAGACCAACTTCTAACAGGTAGGCAATGAAGCTGTTGGCATTCTCATTTTCTTTAAGGGGTATGAAGACGATGTGTGCATTTGATTGTGTGTGTGTGATAAAACACAGATAACAAAAGATTTGCCATTGTAACCATTTTTAAATGATATAATTTAGTGATACTAATTATAGTGTCACTATAATTAGTGACAATAACTATTTGACCATTTTGGGCAATCATCACCACTATCTATTACCAAAGGTTTTTCATCATCCCAAATAGAAACTGAGTACTCCTTGAATGATAACTACCCTCCTCCCCTGGCCCCTGGTAACCACTAATAAACGTATGTCTCTATGCATTTGCCTACTCTAGATATGTCATACAGGTGGGTTGATATAATATTTGTCCTTTAGGTCTTATTCCACCCAGCATAACCCAGCATAACATTTTCAAGGTTCATCCATGTTACATGTATCAGAACTTCATTTTTCTTTATGACTAATAATATTCCATTGTATGTATATACCATATTTTATTTGTCCATTTATCTGTTAATGGGCACTTGAGTTGTTTCCACGTTTTAGCTATTGTGGATAATGCTTCAATGAATGTTGTTGTATAAGTATCTGTTTAAGTCTTTGCTTTCAAGTCATTTGGGCATATACCTAAAATTGTTAGGTCATATAGTAATTCTATGTTTAACTTTCTGAGATGTGTGCAACCTGCTTAGAAATACAGAAATATTGGGCAGTGATTAAAAGCTTGAGACTCACTGTCGGCTCCGGATTCAAATTCCATCAAATCCTTTCTTCTTACTAGTGTGTGACTTCATTCAAGTATCTTAAAATTTGTGTACCTTTTATAAAATGGGATTCATAATAGTTGCTACCTCACAGGATCGCTGGGAGCAATATATAAACATATGCATATACATATAACAGTATACATATGTGTACGTGTGTGTAGATAGATGGATATAAGTGTACAGTGCTTAGAGCAGTATCAGGCACATTAAACTTTAAATACATCTTAATACTAGCTATCATTATTTTTGGTCTCTGAATCAATTTCCCATTTCCCATGATCACTTTTATCTACTAGGCTGTACTGTAAAGGAAGGAGCTCTGGTGGTACGGTGGTTAAAACATTCAGCTGATAACCAAAAGGTCAGTGGTTTGAATCCACCAGCTACTCTGCAGGAGAAAGAGAAGGTAGTCTGCATGTATAAAGATTTACAGCCTTGGAAATCCTACTGGGCAGTTTTACTCTGTCCTAAAGGGTCACTATGAGTCAAAATCAACTCAATGGCAGTGGGTTTTAGTTTAGACTATAAAGAAGAAGTTTTCTTGCTCATGTCCCTGTTCCAGATACTTTCACTTTTAACCATTGGGAAGTTCTCTCTGTGCCTAACCTCCATTACTCCTACTGCAAGCCCATCTTTGGCTTTCATTTGCTGAAAGACAGAACTCTGGTCCCTAGATTTCTCAGTCATCTTCATTGAGTTTCCTCCTTCTCCCCAACCTCCTTCTTTCTTTCTCGTAAGTCCTCAATGTGAGTTCATTCATTAACATGAACAAGTTTATTCAACACCTACTGAGTTCCAGAAAAGGGGTCCTAGTGGGAGAGTGGTTAAACACTTGGCTTTTAACTGAAAGGTCAGCAGTTTGAGACCACCAGCTGCTCTGTGGGAGAAAGATGTGACAGTCTGCTTCTATAAACATTTATAGCCTTGGAAACTCTGAGGCAGTTCTATTTTCTCCTATAGGGGTGCTATGAGTTGGAATCAACCCGGCTTCAATGGTGTTTCAGAAACTATGCTGGGAGCTAACACACACATCACACTTACTATGTATCAAGCACTATTTTAAGCATTTTATACCTATCAATATATCTAATCTTCACAACTACCCAGTGAGGCAGGTGCACTATTATTGCCCACATTTTACTAATGAAGACACTGAAGCAGAGAGAAGTAATTTGTTCAAAGCTATGTAATTAGGTAGTAGAGGAACCAGATACAGAAAATGAAAAAAAATTAAGTCAAGAGGTCTCCAGTCCAATGAAAAAAAGGGAAGGGCAAGTTGATAAAGAGTAGATACAATAATGAATGGGAAAAGTGAATTACCAAAATAGATCATTGCATTTAAAATAGTGTTTCCTCATTACTGGAAAATGTCATGGATATATTTTATACTTGGGAAAGCCAGTTTGAATTAAGAAAAATATAAATTGTACTTTAACAAGAAATACATATGTATTACTTTCAAATTCACACTCTAAATTTAACTGTTAATAAAAGTACTTCTAAGGGGGAGGGGGGTCTCCAGTTCTGCCCAATAGGGAACCCTCCTTGGGTTTCTGAGGCAGTATCTCTACAGAAGTAGATTGCCCAGTCTTCCTTCCCAGGAGTGGCTGGTGGGTTTGAACCGCCAGCCTTCTGGTTAGTAATCGAATACCTTAGGCACTACACCACCAGAGCTCCCAATAGGGAAAATAGACAAGTAGATCACATGCACACAGTGTGGAGAACTGGGGCTGAGGAACGAATTCCGGGAGGAAGCAAGGCCCAACCTGATGGCTATGGAAAGGAGATCAGGGCAAACTTGAACTGTTTTGGGAACTGCTGGAAATCCAGCACATCTGGAGCACAGAGCAGAGGGCCAAAGTGCTTCAGCATAGGAGTGTGGGAGAGTGAGGCTGGAGGGGTGAGAAGAAGCTAGATCACAGAAAGCCTTGGAAGTCTTGGTTAGCAGATGGACTTCCTTCTCAGGACAATGGGGAGCCACTGTTTTAAGTAGGAAAGTGACATGATCACACATGCACTCTGGCTTCAGCATGGAGACTGGGTGTTGAGAGAGGGTCGAGACTGGAGATGGCAAAACTTGAGAAGCAGCAGTTGTGATGTGAGGGGGATTAGTTAGAAAGAAGAAATGCTAAAGATAGCCTCTGACAGAGGAGAGCCTGGTCCAGGAGGCCTGGGAGGGGATTTTGTTACTACCCCTCTCCCTTCTTCCATTTGCCACCAAAATCAGCCCCTTTCTCTGCCCACATGGCAGAGCTAGAGCTGGACTGCCCCCTCTGAGGAATCCCTGGTGGGAGTTTATCCCCAATCCTGCCCCTTTTCCCTCAGTCCTAAGGAATGCTACTCTTTGTATCCTGCAGACAGGGCTGAGTCCCCACCATGCCAGGCCGACTCACCTTCCCTGCATTCTGCAGCTTTCTTCTCCTTTGGACCTTCACCATCTTCCATAAAGCCCTGGGTCACTCAGGTAAGCCCCCAGCCCAACCCAGAACCTGGGGAATATTTTTTTTTTGGGGGGGGGGGAGAGGCTCCAGGGCTGGTGAAAGTGGAAAAGGCAGCTGTTGAGAGTACCTAGGGAGTGAGAGCCATCGCAGAGCAGGCAGTGGAGGACAGGATTAGAGGGAGCCCGGGGGACCGCATTTGAAGGGCAGGGTCTGGAACGGGCACTAGGGGTGGTGGGGATCAGGGGGTTCCTGCCACTGTGGCTCCCTCTGCTCAGCGCCCCACCCTGGCCCCCACTACCTCCTGCCCCCCATCCACGAGGTCATTCACTCTCGTCGTGGGGCCACGGCCACGCTACCCTGCGTCCTGGGTGCCCCGCCTCCCAGCTATAAGGTGCGCTGGAGCAAGGTGGAGCCCGGGGAGCTTCGGGAAACGCTGATTCTCATCACCAACGGGCTCCACGCCCGGGGCTATGGGCCCTTGGGGGGCCGTGCGAGGATGCGGAGGGGGCACCGGCTAGACGCCTCCCTTGTCATTGCGGGCGTGCGCCTGGAGGACGAGGGCCGGTACCGCTGCGAGCTCATCAACGGCATCGAAGACGAGAGTGTGGCACTGACTCTGCGCCTGGAGGGTGAGGCTCTTTCATTCCCACCAGCTCCTAGGGTGAGAGGATCCGGCCGCCTTGCCTCGGGTCTCCCAGGGCTCCTCCCCCAGCACTGCCCCGCCCCGTCTGGGGGTCCCCGCGCGTCTGGTAGCTGCCCCCTCCCCAGGCTCTCCCCTACCTCCCAGGTGTGGTGTTTCCGTACCAACCCAGCCGGGGTCGCTACCAGTTCAATTACTACGAGGCCAAACAGGCGTGCGAGGAGCAGGACGGCCGCCTGGCCACTTACGCACAGCTGTACCAGGGTGAGTGGCCGAACGCCAGCACCTCCCAGGCCCCCAGTGGGCCCCCCAATGAGGGGTGCGGCAAGTTGGGGTCTGGCTTCTCCCTGCAGGGGCGGATTACCCAATAAGCAAGGAAAGCACAGGTTTACTTGGATTTATTTACTAAGCTGTAGTGAACCGTTTCACATGGGAAAAACGTGAAACGGTTCACTACAAATCAGTAAATAAGCACAATAAACCTGTGCTTACCTTGCTTACTGTGCACTCCTTCCCTGTCAGGGATTGTAAATTTGAAAAGCAGCTTTGATTCTGCAGGAAGGTGCTGTGGGTTTGAGACAGAGACAAATGCCAGCCATACCTAGAAGCAGAATCTTTGATATAGTGAAAAAATGTGAAATCGTTCACTACAGATTAGTAAATAGACACAAGCAAACCCGTGTTTACCTTTTTTATCTGGTAATCCGACACTGCTGGCCAGTGATACCTCTAATTCTCACTCTCCACCCCTACATCTCCCACCAGCGTGGACCGAGGGTCTGGACTGGTGTAACGCCGGCTGGCTGCTCGACGGCTCCGTGCGCTACCCGGTGCTTACGGCACGTACTCCGTGCGGCGGCCGGGGCCGGCCTGGGATCCGCAGCTACGGGCCCCGCGACTGGAAGCGCGACCACTACGACGCCTTCTGTTTCTCCTCGGCGCTGGCGGGTGAGGGGTTGAAAGAGGGGCGGGGGCTTGAGCTGGGGCTGTGGGCGGAGGTAGCGAGTCAGGGGGGCGGGGCGAGCGGAACTGGGGCAGGGGGACGTGGGCGGGGTTTGGAGAATGGGGGCGGGGAAAAGTGGCTTTCAGATAGACTGCGATCTCCTGGAGTCTCATTTCAAGGCCCCGCCCCCTACATGACCCGGTTCACGCAGGCGCTAACCCGCCTCCAGCATCCCCGTTTGCTCTCAACTGTCTGGATTCTCCCACTCCTCCCACTTTGAGCTCAGTACGGCTCCTCTACTGCCGGTTCTTGACTCCGCTCCCTGGGAGTCTGAATCTACCCCACTCTGCTCTCGGACGGTCGTTAACCGGCTCCTGTCTCCAGGCCACGTGTTCTTCGTTCCCGGACGGCTGACTCTGTCTGAAGCCCACGCGGCGTGCGGGCGACGCGGTGCAGTAGTGGCCAAGGTTGGGCACCTCTACGCCGCCTGGAAGTTCTCGGGACTGGACCAATGCGACGGCGGCTGGTTGGCGGATGGCAGCGTGCGTTTCCCTATAACTACTCCGCGGCCCCGCTGCGGCGGTCTCCCGGATCCGGGGGTGCGCAGCTTCGGCTTCCCCAGCCCGCAGCAGGCGGCCTATGGGACCTACTGCTACACCCAGAAGTAGGGAACCACCGTACGCGGCAAAGCCAGGGAGTCATGTCGGGGTCCCTCTCCGTCCCTATCCCGGAAGCTTCCCTTCCCGCCAGACGAGGAGCGGCCCCTCCTGACATGCCTTTTTGGACTCACACCGCGAATTCCGGCTGGCCGAGCGTCGAGCATCGGGGAGGTGAGGTGGTGGCGCCTCCTGTTGTAGGTAGGGCCTGGATAGAAGACTGCCTGCGAGGATGCAGCCACCTCCAGGGGGACTGGTTGGGCGCCCAGGGACATTAATTGATCTCTGTTTACAGCAATAAAATAATTTGGGGACTTTTGTTTTGGGCGAGGCTGTAAGAACTGTGAGGCGTGGGGGATGAGAGAGCGTACTCTGGACCCGGCTTGCCAACTATGTACCTAAGAGACAAAGTAAGAGCAGAAGCCTCTACCGCCACGAGGTGGGCCAGCGGGAGACAGGAATTGCTGAGAGAGGGGACCTAGAGGCCGGTGGAGATAGAGTTGGAGACGACACTGACCTTAGAGTGTTGTTGCGCAGGGCGCCACGAGGGGGCGCCACAGACTCTCCTTCGACTCCGCCGGGAGTGCTTCATACACCGAGGCCTACCCTCTGGGCTCCACAGAATGAATATAAGATGGACCTAAAAATATTGTTTGTATCCTGCCAGAACCGTCTTCCAAAACGTTTGCAGGGACTACTATTAAAGATAGGAAAGGCATACAGTTGACGGGAAATTAAACACCTCGCCACAGGGCTGATGGTTCACCTTGCTTATGGATCTGGTTTAAAGTTCACCACCTAGGCCCCAAGGCAAATGGAGCACTGTACCAGTAACATTCTTAACATCTGGTTAAAGGAACTATAACTGTAATTCAATAGACAGCTCTAATGTTAATTCATTTTTCTTCACAATTTTTTTTTTTAATGATTCAGGAACTCTTAACTAATCACAAAAAGCCTGGACTAGAGAAGAGACATCAGTAAGTCAAAGGGTATGAACACTTTAAGGGCACTTGATATATGTTGTACAATTTTTTCCTAAAAGAATTCTTGCTACAGTTGCTAGAGAGAATTCATTCCATGGGATTTTACATATGGGACAACAACTGACAGAATGGACAGCATATTCATTAACCAACATACCACAAATAAAATATTTGTGCCAGTGTCTAAGCCTTGGTTTTCTCATCTGGATCATGGGATAATAGTATCTGCCTCCCACGTCCGTTGTGAGGATTAATTGAGATAATACATGTACAGTGCCTGACACTTAGGTGGCTGTCAGTAAGTGCTACTATTAATAATAATTGGGGAACATTGGTGGGTCAGTGGTAGAATTTTTGCCTTCATGTAGGAGCTCCGGGTTCAATTTCTGGCCAATGCACTTCATGCATGACCACCATCCGTCAGTGGTGGCTTACGTGTTGCTATGATGCTAAACAGGTTTCAGAGGAACTCCCAGACTAAGATGGACTAGGAAGAAAGACCTGGCAATCTACTTCTGAAAATTAGCCAATGAAAACACTATGGATCACAACAGTCCTATCCACAACCATCATGGGGATGGCACAGGACCAGGCAATATTTGGTTCAGCTGTGCATGGGTTTGCCATGCCTCAGAGGCCACCTTGATGGCAGCTAACAACAGCATAATTATTATACTGCTACTAAGTATTATTGGAGCTCTGGTAGGGTAGTGCCAAAGGCATCTGACTGCTAACCAGAAGGCTGGCGGTTCAAACCCACCAGCCACTCCTCAGATGGAAGGTTGGGCAATCTACTTCCGTAATGATACCACCTCGGAAACCCAAGGAGGGGTCACTATGAGTCGGAACCAACTTGACAGTAGTGAGTTTGGTTGGTTTTTTTTTTTTTTTTTTTGTAATTATCAAGTTGTTACAAGCAGTCTGGGACTGGTTTCTGTATGGCACTGTATGGCAGAATAAGCTAGATTATGTTGTGATAACAAACAACGCCCAAATCTCAGTGGCTTAGAACAACAAAAATTAATTTCTCACTCAGGCTACATGTACATCATTGTCAGTAAGCAGGCTCTTCCGTTTCAGTCACTCGGGGACCAAGGCTGATAGAGCAGTCACCATTTGAAATGTTGTCAATCACCATGCCAAAAGGAAAAAATACAAACGCTCTGGAGGGTCTTATATAGGCAATTCATTGCTTGAGTCCAGAAGTGACACCTGTCTCTGATTCATGACTCATCTGTAGGTACAAAGCACAAGGCCTCATCTAACCACAAGGGGGAGAAAAGTGTATTCCTGTTTAGACTTACAACTTTTGATGAACAGAAAGAGCTCAATATGGTAATGGAAACATGCAGAGGGGTCGTGGGCCCTACCACAAGCATCAGAGATGGCAGTCTAAATTTCAGGGTATATTGGTAGTCACCCACTCATCTGCGTCTCTTCTGGGTTTTCTGAGTTCTGGCCTACCATGAAAGGTGCTGTAGTGGTGTAGGGGATAAGGGACTTGACTGCTAACTGGAAGGTAGTGGTTCAAATCCACCAGCTGCTCCATAGAAGGAAGTTGAGGTGATCTCCTTATGTAAAGATTTACAGCCTTGGAAATGGTGGTCGCTATGAGTTGGAAATGACTTGATGGCCGTGAGTTTGGTTTTTCTGGTTTGACCTACTATGAGGTCAGAGCCCTGGCAGCTCAAGAGACAGAAATTCGGCTTTTCTTCAGTGTGAAGCCTCTGTCAAGAGACCATATCTTGGTCGTGAGAGAAACTTTATATTTGCTTTAAAGCTGTTTCTTTACTCATAAAAACACATGACCACTAATTCTATTTTTATTTTTAATTTTTATTGTGATTTGGGTGAAGATTTACAGAGCAAATTCATTTTTCATATAGCAATTCATACACATTTTGTTTCATGACTGTAATTCCCCACAATGTAACAACTCTCTTCCCACTTCCTCCCTGTAGTTACCTCTTCCCTGTGTCCTTCTTTCCTATGCATTCCTGCCCCCTGAGCTATCTCCCTGTGCAAATAACTGTCCTTCTGTTTTCCCATGATTGATTATTTTAAGGAGTGTATCTACCTGATATAAATGTTTACCCTATATGCCTGTCTATTGTTTAACTGGAAGCCACGGAAGTGAGTTCAAGTCCAAACGTGAAGGGTAACTAGGAGTCATAGTCTTGGGAGTCTTACCAGGCTCTATCAGACCAGTAAACCTGGTCTTTTTTTATGATTTTGACTTTTGTTCCACATTGTTCTTCCACTCTATCCAGGATCTTCTGTACCAACCAATCCCTTTCCAAGTGGTTGACCGATAGCTGGACACTATCTAATTCTTCTGGTCTCATGGTCATATAGGCTGAGGTTCACATAGTCCACTAGTCCCTTGGACTACTTATTTCCACGTGTCTTTGGCTTTCTTCATTCTTCTTTGTTCTAGAGGAGAAGACCCATTGTTGCATCTAGATGGCTGCTTGCAAGCTTTTAAGACCCCAGTCACTACTTACCAAGGTAGGATGTAGAACAATGTTTTTGTGTAGTATATTATGCCAATTGAGCCTGATGTCTCCTGTGACCATGGTCCTGAGCCCACAAGTCCAATTACTTGCTCCTTCAGGGTGCTTGACTGTGGCTAAGAAGTTACCATAACTTTGCACCTTGTTAGCTCTATTATGAGGAGCTCTGGTGGCGTAGTGCCTACGGCATTTATTTGGCTGCTAACCAGAAGGCTGGCGGTTCAAACCCACCAGCTACTTCTCAGGAGAAAGACTGAGCAATCTACTTCTGCAGAGATACTGCCTCAGAAACCCAAGGACAGGTTGCTATGAATCAGAACCCTTTTTAGCTCTATTATATATGGGAGCTCTGGTAGCGTAGTGCCTAAGATATTTGTCTGCTAACCAGAAGGCTGGCCATTCAAACCCACCAGTCACTCCTCGGAAGGAAGGTTGAGCAATCTACTTCCATAGTGATGCCGCCTCAGAAACCTAAGGAGGGATCCCTATGAGTTGGGTCCAACTCGATGGCACATAACAACAACAACAACAGCAATTATATATATGGACATTCTTACAGCACATACAAATACATATGTAGAAATATCATCTGCCAACCTTAAATATTGTTATGGGTGTATTCCCTTTTGCCTAGACATACCTGATCATTCAGCCTGTCTATGCATCTATTCACCTGTAGATTAATGTTTGTTATCACTGATAACACAGTATTGTATGTGTAAAAGGATTTATCTTTTTGTCTGTACTTCTTGTGCACCACTCTGTCTTCCTTTCCCTTGGTGTTATTGTGTTGGTCATCTGCTTTTGGTATATTGCCTTTCCTTCACCCATATCAATACTTGTCTCTACCTATCTAGCAATTTTCCCTCCCCTCCCCTTCCATCCCATGCCTAGTAACGAACAAAGAAAATTTCCTTCCATATATAAACCTTTTCTTGACTTTTTACAATAGTGAAGTAATACAATATTTGCCCTTCTGTGATTGACTTATTTCATTCAACATAATGTCCTCTAAGTTCGTCTACATTATGCCGTATTTTGCAGATTCTACAGTATTCTTTGTTGTTGTTGTTGTTATGTGCCATCGAGTCGAACCGGACTCATAGCGACCCCTCCTTGGGTTTCCAAGGCAGTATCACTACAGAAGTAGATTGCTCCATCTTCCTTCCGAGGAGTGGCTGGTGGATTTGAACCACCAGCCTTCTGGTTAGCAGTCAAGTGCCTTAGCCAGTATGCTACCAGAGCTCCCAGTATTCTTTAGTATTGCATAATATTCCATTGCATGTACATTTGGTTATCCATTCTTCTGTTGATGGGCACTTGGGTTGTTTCCATCTCTTTGCTATTGTGAATAGTGTTGCGATGAACATGGGTGTGCATATATCTATTTGTGATCTGCTTCCCACTTCTTCAGGATATATACCTAGTAATGAGACTGCTGGATCAAATGGTATTTTTAATTCCAACTTTTTTAGTCATCGCCATACTGATGTCCATGGTGGTTGTATCATTT